TATCCAAATACATACGGGCATTTCCTCATTGGATTGGTAGACTGATATCACATTAAATATACATCATACATAATGACACTATGCCTGTGAATTTCCACAGTCAAAAAACTTGTATAAAACAATTCTTCATACCACTCTTTGTGATCACAGCGGTATTTCAAGTCACTATTTACTATTTTATTATGGTTTATGTACATTATGTAACATGTTACATACTACTATGGAAAACATGTTACAATAATTTAGTCACAAACAATTCAAGAATTCAAAAAAAAAACATTAAGGTGAAATCTTACAACTTAACAAATAGCAAATTAAGCATAATTAAAATATATTTTTTAAATAACATGTACATATTTTTTTAAACAATAACATAGCAAATGTGTCTCCAAAACAATGTACATATTCTTCCATACTATATTAAATTATTTATTAATGAAAACCGCTAAAAATTACTTAAAACTGTCAACAGTATGGTGCAGAGAAAATTACAATTTTGTACAACAAAAGGCACTTTTAATTTAAACCATTAAACTTTGAATTTAAAATTTCATTTTCTAAACTTTATATTGGATTCTTAATTTAAATACATTTTTCTTAATTAAGAAATATAAATATATAAAAGAATTTAAACCAAATGTAGGTCTGTGGTCTCTGCCTACCCTTGAGTTACAGGCCTGAGTTTTTGTTGTATATCAAATATTGTCTTTTTGAGTTATTCCTAAAATGATTAAACAGACTTTAATTACAGAAAATAGTTTCTTAAGGTAGTTAAACAATTAATATTTTATTTCTAAACAATGCTATGCTTTTGAGATTTAATTATATATTTTCATTTAATGGTCATTTTAAAGCTCTTTGTTTTGTTACCTTTTTAACTAAGTGAATAATAACAAAAATAAGCACTGCATTTTTCATACATTAAGGAACTTAGTATATAGAAAAATAAAGTCACAATCTAAAATACAACACTGGAGCAATATTATCTACAATTGTAATGTACTTTGCCTACACGACGGCGATAGAAAAGATAATCGATACGAAGTAAACATTCAAATAAATTATGTTTTCGTTTTTATCGATATAATCATTTCCATTGTGTAACAAATGAAAACAGGCCAAGGTAAGCATTAGTTTGATGATTTTACGAACACTTTAAACATTTGATCTAGTAAAAATTGTTCACGAAAAATCTTTTGTAGATCACAAGAATTGAAAATTTCGCGCCAGTCACGCTCATCTAATGACCGAGTCGTGTCAATCACAATAATTGACAAACGTTGGCATCTTAGTTATTTTCGAGCTTACCTCGAGGACCGGACTAAAAACTAAACAGCCCAAGCAATACAATAATATTACCAATTTATTTGTCACCTGTCAATATCGTAACCTCAAATTTAAGAGATCAACAATAGAACGTGTAGGTGACAAGAATTCTAACGAACTTTGTAATTTGTTATCTGCTCTTTTAAAGTCATTATACAACTATAAAACTAAATACAACTTTGTATACTTGAGGGTTTTAAAAAGGAAAACATGAAGACAGTTTCCAAACACGGCCATTTTCAATAGAGTGCTTGTAACTATACGTCAGTTTGTAGGTACAAAATGTAACTCACCCTTTCCACGTCCACGTCGGTTCCAGTGCACAGTCTCTTGCCACTATTACCGTTGTAAGCCATGATACACCACAATACAAAACACAAAACACACCGTAACACGTTAAAATAAGACGAGATCGAGTAATCCTTCCTCTAGAACGGTCGCGGCCAGACTGATTGAACGAATGGAATGCAATATCGTGAACGAATGAAGTTGGCAACGCGGCGCGTAATTGTGCATAGACAAGTATTGGAATGAATGAAACCATAAATTTATACAGATAAAATATGACGCAAGATGTTTCCACAAAATAATTTGTGTAAATAATGGTTTATTTTTTTATAAGGTATCTTATTTGTATTATTTCAACATTTTAAATAAAAATTAAAAATAAGAACTTCATAAACTTCTATTTAGATCGTTAATCTACTAATCTCTGAAAAAATGCTAGGGTTTGTAATATAAATAATACTGTTGTTTCTTTTCGATATTTATTTAAATAAAAGATAATTCCTGCCACCTGCTGTATTCTCGAGAACATAAGACAAATCAACAAAAATTCTATGGGAACGCTCCTTTAATAAACAATGCGTTATATTTTAAAATACACTGTATTTTGTTCTTAGATACAACTGGATGCTTAAATAATTATTTTTTACAATTGTTAAGCATATCAATATTTCATTTTTACATCATATTATGCTAAATTTTATACTACACTACATATCTTCATCACAGCTAATGTGGTGCGGGTTTGTGTCCATCTACATAGAAATTCCTTGTTGCTTTTGGTAACCGCAGTTCCATACCTTCTAATTCTTTTGTCAATACAATCTGGCAACCTGCATAAAAAACACATATTGTCTTTGGTTTATTCTAAAGATATTATCCATTTCATTATCTATGTTTTTTATCAATAAATTAATTTTTTTATTGAAATAATTATGTTACTACTAGAACTACAAACCTAATCTAGAATTTTCTTTAAGGAATGGCGCCATATCTAACAAGTCATCCTCTTTCTCTTCAGACATGGGTAATTTGTCAAAATAATCTTGTTGCACATAAACATGACAAGTTGTGCATGCTAGGGACGCCTCACAGGCACCTGTAAGAAATGATTAATTCTGATTATACCATAAACAAGGAGCAAACTTTTATAAAATAGTGGATAGTTGTAATTTGCAACTTAAAAATTAACATCGGACTTTTCATTCATTATGAATGATATCCATGATTGTTAACAATCTATCTTCATATAAGCGTACACAAGATTTTGTTAACCCCACACCTGAACTGGGTTTATTTCCCTCAATTTATTTTAAATTAATTAGGAATGGGTTAACTCAAATATTTATTACCTGGTGGCAACAGTTTCTGACCTCTTGGGAGTCCATTCAGGGTGAGAGTTTATTTAGGGTTTTTTTACTTACCAAATGAGACCAAAACTAGTTAGTAGTTGTAAGTTAAGCCCTTCATAATCGATTTATTATAATGTCCCACCAAAGTTTAACCAATTTAACTTGTGTTTCTGTTATCAAGACTTATCTCCCTAATGTCAATAATAAATTAGTAATAATAATGGAATCATACCTTCCATTTCAACGCCATATCTGTGAGCCAAATAAAGTACATTATCACCAACTTTGCCTCTTACTTTTGTCTTTTTGCCATCTTTGTCAACATATGTGATGTTAACACTGTAATTGAAAGATATCAAAACTTTAAGTACTGAAGTATTTAAAATTACAAAGGTAAATAAATAGATTTGCAAGTACTTACACTTCATCTTCGGACTTTGGATCCTGCCATTCATATTCCCCATGTCTTAAGCCTGCGCCGAGAACAATTTAAGAAAAAAATAAATAGAAAAACATTGGTTTAATGTTAATAGATTATTTTACCTGAAGTCACATGAATTCGTCTCACATTATTAGTTAACGGAGACTTAATAAGTCTTGATGTCTTAATTGCTACATATAATTTAACAGTTCGAAGCATTTTCTTTTTAATTAATTAATATTGTAGCCATAACAATTATTTTTTTAAGCAACTTTATATTTTTTTAGGTTATATTTTTTTTAATTGACAATATAAATTGACATTTAACAATGTTTGACAATGACAATCGCTGTTATCTTACTGTTTTGTTAATTAAGAATTTAGGTTATTGTGTTCAAAACATTAGTGCAAGCAATTAAATTTTTAATGGATTGCAATTTAATTAAATATAAAGAATCAATAGCAGTTTATAGCAAAATCTTGAATTTGAAAAATTGCAACATTGATGTTATTTAAAATAAAAAAATGTTAAAGCAACACCTTGTTATGTCATAAAGAAAAACGTCAATAAATTCGAGTTCCATATTGGACATAAAATATGAAATGATAATTATAATATAAAATTATTGATTATTATAAAGTGCGACACGCGCTGTGATAGCCTTGCCATGATTGGTTTACTCTAGTGTTAGCTTTCATACTTAATTAATATAGTCATAGTATAAATATGTTTTAAATTTCGGTGTTAGGATTTTATAGAGATAAGAATGTAAGTTTTATGACAAAATGACGTGTATTTAGTAATATAGATAATTTGCTTTTTGCTTAATGTTATCATCATGACGTTCCTAATAAGAGCAATAAAAACTACTCGAATTTAAAAAAGTTAAACAAAGGCAAGAAAATAATCTTAGTGAAATAAATATTTCAGATTATTAAAATACAAATAAAATGTCGGAAGTAAATAATGTCAAAGACGTCTCAGTGAAAAGACAGGACCCTACATCTTTTTTGCCAGAGGAGGCAATGTCTTATGAATTGAAACCAAAAAAGAAAAAGAAAAAAAAGAAACATAATCAGGAAGATCCATTTAAAGATTTAGGGGACGTATCTAATTTACCAACAGAAATTACCCTTGACCCTGAGGTTAATATTAAAGTTGAGAATATAGAAGTCGAGTTGGATTTTAATGATGTAAGTTATAATACTATTTATAAATAACCTGATTTTTTATTTCCGAGACTAAAATCTCCATTTAAAACATATTGATGTCATCTCTGTGTTGTCAAAGCTGAAGACATTGATGACTATATGTTTTATATAGAGATTTTGGTGTCAGAAACCCACTATGACTCTATTACAGACAAGAAAAGAATACAAATCAAATGACTACTTTTTCATCAAAATCAGTTCAATTGTTAAGATGCTAAGCCATCACAAAACTCAAATAAATTATTATCCGCTTGTTAGTTGTATAAATTATTTATTAATTTTATATATCTAACCACAATATTATATACCTTTTTGTAACTGTAAACACAATACATAAAAACTCTGAGATTCTAAATACTTATGTCCTGTTTTCCCAGGTGACTAAAAGGTCTCGTCACATCACAGAGTTGTCACATAAAACACACCTTTTCAATATTTATATCAGGCCTAATTTCAATACAACTCAGATTTTCCATTTTTCAGTTTACCAATGACAATGGACTTATGGTTGAAGGTATTCAAAGTGAAGATAGTCAGGAACCAGTGGTAAAATTGGAGCAACAGAACCGTGAAGCTGTAATTCTAACATTTGAGAGTGTTGTCAGTGATAAATCAGTGTTTAATTATAACCAACCAAGTGATACAAACATCGTAGGTCCGAAACACATATGTAAAGTATGTCATCTTGTGTTTCAATCTATAAGAACATTAAAAATGCACCAAAAGAGAAAGCACAAAGTATTCAGACGTTTATTTGAACATGTATGCGAGAATTGTGGTATGTCTTATGACCAGAAAAGTAGTCTGATTGCGCATATAAGGAGGAAACATGGACCGGATTCATTACCTGATGACAGAGAAGAAAGAACTTGTGACATTTGTGCACTGGTCTTCAAAGGTATGACGAGATTACGTATGCATATGCGAAGAAAGCATGGATCTTTCCAAGATTCATTCCAATACGCGTGTAAAGATTGTGGACTTACATATGACAAATATAGGAGTTTAATTGTACATATCCGGAGAAAGCATAATGAGGATAACCAACCCGTACCTGAGCAGTGGTATAATTGTCCATTTTGTCCTAAAGCGTTTACTAAACGTGAAACATACGCAAGGCATGTACAAAGAAAACATCAAGAAGATGAAGACATGGATAATAATGATAGGATTTTATTAAAAAATTCCACAAATGAACAAACCGGTGAAGTTTCTTGTAAAGAGTGCCCTCTAGTGTTTTCCTCGTTAAATTACCTTAAATTACATATGAGAAGAAAACATAATGCTTTAAAAGATAATTTCAGACTCAAATGTAAATTTTGTAATCTATCGTACGATAAAATAGAAAGCTTAAAGCGTCATATTCGAAGGAAACATGATAAGGGATCGTATTGTGAAGTGTGCAATAAACAGTTTGATACTAGAGAATTGTATTTAAACCATACTCATATTAAAATGATAAGGGAATGCTCAATTTGTGGTTTAATATTCGCCTCTAAGGCTGGCTTGGGCAAACATTTACGATGTACCCACAAAATTGATTCACCGAAAATAATATTCTGTCATATATGCAATGAAGGATTCCATGACAAAAGGCAATTGAAGCCACATTTAATGAAAGTGCATTTAAAAGTGTCATATACATGTATACATTGCAGTAAAATATTTAAATGCAAAGAAAGTTATAGACGTCATATATTATTTAAACATCCAGTTAAAAATATTAATCATAATCAGTTGCAAAAATGTGAAAATTGTCCGGAAACATTTACAGATGAACTTGAATTGTCAAAACATGTAAACATATTCCACGGGCAAGAATCAAATATGAATGAAATTGTTGTAAAAAAAGAGGAAGTTGATATAAAAGAATCATTTCAATGCTCAAAATGTTCAGAATCATTTTTAACTTGGGAATTACTAAGGTTACATTTCACACAAAATCATCACGTAGTCAAAGACACTCAGTGTCAAGTTTGCGGTCAAATAGTCAAAGATAACGAACTTCAAAAGCATATAAAAAGCAATCATACAGAAGTAACAATATTGGAATGTAAATATTGTGAATTTAAAACAAAATCAAGAGGAAGTTTAACACAACATTTATTAAGACATAAAAATGCTACTACGCTGAATTGTGAAATGGAAGGTTGTAGATATAAAACATTCTACGAAGTAGCTATGATGAAACACAAACAGAAACATAACGAACAAGGTGTGAAATTACAATGTTCCAAATGTTCGTTTCAAACTATGAATAAATATATATTAAAATATCATGAAGATGCACATTTGACTGGTAAAAAGAAATATGCTTGTGATAAATGTGATTACGCAACAATATTACCAGCAAATTTGGTACAGCACAAATATAAACATTCAACGGAGAAGAAGTTCAAATGTGAGGTATGTCCGTTTGCAACAAAATATAATACATCGTTACGATTTCATGTTAAAAAGAAACATTGTGATCTCCCATCTTTCAGTTAATTGTTTTTATTATTAAATTTGGTGTTTTGAAACATTTGTTTTAATTTTTTTACGTCTATGAAATGTTAAATCAAAAAGCATTAAAAACACTTTCTGTGGCATTATAAATTCACTGCAATATAGCTTTGGGTAAGTAATCTTACAAATATAATAAATGCGAATGCTTGGATGGATGGATGGATGTTTGTTTGAAGGTATCTCCATAACGGCTGAATGAATATCGTTGAAATTCAGCATTCATATAGAATATAGTCTAAAAGAACACATAGGCTAGTAATTATATTTTTTAATTCCGCGCGAAAGAAATCACGGGCGACAGCTAGTTATGAATAACAAGAAAAAACTTTGCTTTCAATTCGTCAACAAATAGTTTTTAATTTGACATTAAAATGAATAAACATATTTTATTACATACAGAAATGTGATATAGAAAATTAGTCGACATATTTTCGGCAGGCGTTAATATTATTTGCGTATTTTAGCTAAACAAGTGCTAGGATTGAAGCTGCACCAAGCAGGCCAAATAGGTTGTGCTCGTATCCCGCGTAGAAGCATGCGCCATCTGGAAAAATGCTTCTTATAAGATGAAGAGAATTTTTGCTATACAAAATCTGACAGGCGCTTTAAAAACTGCAATATAACTATTTTAAAACGATTCAATGAAGCTGTTAACATTACCTTTGCCTGTCTAATCGCATGTAAACATATTTATTAGCGGTAGAATTGGCTATAGTATCCGACCAGAGTCTTTCAGCGACTGCAGCTGCTCGAGGCCATAGCAAACTATCGATATTACCTGCAAAATTATTTCCTTAGCTGTATTTAAGTAATATTTCAGAAAATAACCTACTAATTGAATCTATTATTTTTAAACTAGATGGCGTTGTTTTCAATCTTAAACTGTACCTTCATTGACAAGGTCAGTCCAAAGTGTTGCTTCGCCTCCTTCAGTGCTAAATGATTCAACGTTCCGCCATAACTTCCAGGAATACATTTCCTGCCAAGATCTAAGAAATCAAATGATTCAGTTAGATTTGGAGCATGGTAAGGTTTTTATTATATAAGAAGATAAATAAAATCTTTCGTTTTTTACTTTAACAGCATAAAAATTACCTGTATTTTACACATCTCTGTTTTACAATCTTACAAGATAGATCCCAATTGCTTGAATGTATCACTCTGAATTTACCTAGATAATGTTCTCCGGGATTAGGTTCCCAATCTGTAAGCTGCACTCCCATTCTATCCCAGATCTTAGCTTCCGAGTCCTTCATTAAATGTGACTTATACCATATTATAGGTAACTGAGGTAAATTCCCCTTATTAGCAAGTTTCAAACGATCTAATGCATTGTTCAAAAAACCATCTCTATCACTTATTAGTTCATAGCAATTTGTTATCGAGAACATTCCATCGCTCAGATGAAATACATCATTAACTCCTGTCATTTCTAAAATCTCTGTGTAAATTATTTGTAAAATATCAAACACTGCTTTATCCATTAACAATCTTGTACATAGAATATTCTGACACGTGTAATTATTAGTTTTAAGGGGACATGTGGATTGTGGGAACCACGACCACGCTCTACCGACAGGTCCAGGCGCTGCAACCTCTAAGATTACTCTGATACCTCGTAATGCAGCTTTTCTGACAATACTTTTAACGTCAATTTTAGTATAAATCATTGATCTGTCATACGCTCCATAATCAGATAGATAAGGTAACTTAGTCAAGTATAAAGGAAAACTAGTTTCACTAGAAATTCTCCAATGCAACGTATTCAATTTACAACTCGCCATACCATCTAATGTCCTCATGATATTTGACACAGTTATATAGTTGCGTCCAGTATCTAACATTAACCCTCTGTATTTATAACAAGGTCTGTCTTTTATTGTTATATTTGATAGGGTAATTAAATAACCAGTGACTTGATCTAATAATATCAATTGGCTTGTTGTTTCCAAACCATGTCTCACGCCGCAGAATGAATAGCCTGATATTTTAAACACAACACGATTACCTATCGTATTAATTTGGATTGTATAAGATTCGTCTGTATCCAATCTTAATTTAGGATCCGGATCATTTTCTACTTCTATTTCTATACTTATCTTTCTGATCGGTAGATCCGAATCACTTATGTTCGATTTCTTTCGATCTCTTTCTAATTTGAAGACATTTTTTAAAAACAATTTAAATGCACTTGCTAAATAGTTGTGCACTATTTCAGAGGGTACTGATTGGAATTTGTACTCTAAATTCATAGTACTAAGGGCCATTATTTCTTTACTGTATTGCGTGTAGCCGATAGGATGCGGCCATAGTTGTGGTCCCATACATAAAAGTATGCATC